CCATCTTTCAGCATCTTCCTCACTCTGTAATATTGGTATTATAATGATGGATATACTCAAGGGTGCTTGCAGGAATTTTTCCAGGGCTGGGGAAATATAAAACACGAAAGGGGAAACAGGCTAGTTTGTCACACACACAAATAAGTAGAATGACACATTTTGCCAGATAGCTTGGATTTTACACATGCCAGAAACTTAATTTTTTAAAAATAAAAAAGCTGGGTGCCCAGAGATTATGATTCATCAGAGGGTGGGTGCAAACACCATGGATGCAATGCTGCTCACAAGTCACTGCTCAGTAGCCTTACATAAACATAGCATTGCAGCACGAACTTCACTGTTTGTAGCCTAGCCTGCAACTCCTTGTTCCTTTCTTTGCTAAATCCTGCTGTAAGAGCTTCCTTCTCTTAAATATAGATTCATGCTGGACATTATAGAGGGTTAAGAATCAAACAATGTAAGTGGAGCCTTGCTAGATCAGATCAATCCGTCTATCTCGGCCTGGGATATAGCCCTTCAGTCATTACTGGACTACAACTCCCATCATCCCTAGTTGGTTATGCTGGCTGGGGTTGGTGGGAATCCAACATCATTTGGAGTTCCCCATCAATGATCTAGTCTAACATCCTGTTTGGGCAAATGTATGCAACAAAAAGTCTTCATTTTTCCACAAACATATATGTAATATTTGTTGGATTGGCAAGACAGTAGACGTAAGAAATGGCCCGTATGGTGGGGCAGCTGACACTGGCATCACTGCAGCTTACCTAGGTGGTGATGGGGCAGTGAGGTGGGTTGGTGGGTGGGCTTTGCAAGTACACCAGTGAGATTGCTGGATTGTCTCTGCTAGTCCACCAGCACAGCCCAGACCCTGCTGCTGCCCCACCCCAGCCTTGTCCAGGTAAGCTGCAGAAACAGTACAGTATGGAGGCAGCCACATGACTCTACCACACCATAGACCGATAGTGAAAAAAAACGGCTGCATCCAACTAAAGCTGTTCAGCATCAGGTCAACAAAAGCAAACTCGCTTTTATTCCTGCAGGCATGTTGGTGTGGTGATTAAAATGCATGCTCAGAGCATTTCATCCTTTTCCCATCAGGGCTGGCAAGCTGTTTGTCTGTTTGTTTGCTCTAACATGTCAGAAGTGTAGAAGCAGCTGTAAAGCATGGAATGGTGAGGGATGGGGAAAGATAAATGTTAAGGGGGGTGAGCATGAAACCATTAAGTTTAGGATCTAGAATTACCTCCTTGCATGACTGATTACGTACAATGTAGCAGGGAGGAATCAGGTCATTATCAGGTATAAATCTGCTCCCCCTAGAGGTGCTTTGTGTACACACATGCACAGGGCTGGATTTAGGCTTGATGAGGCCCTAAGCTCCTGAAGGTAATGGGGCCCTTTATATGTCCAGCTGTCCTTTGTCAACAACAAATTGTCGCTTTTTTGTGCTGAATCTATCCTATATGGTAATTTATGAACCTAGGTAAAGGGACCCCTGACCATTAGGTCCAGTCGTGACCGACTCTGGGGTTGCGGCGCTCATCTCGCTTTATTGGCCAAGGGAGCCGGCGTACAGCTTCCGGGTCATGTGGCCAGCATGACTAAGCTGCTTCTGGCGAACCAGAGCAGTGCACGGAAACGCCGTGAGCTGGGACCAAGCTGGGACCGAGCAACAGGCGCTCACCCTGTGGCGGGGATTCGAACCGCCGACCTTCTGATCGGCAAGCCCTAGGCTCTGTGGTTTAGACCACAGCGCCACCCGCGTCCCTATTAATGGACCTAATTGGTATCTAAAGCCATTTGCACATAACAAAATATGTATTTTATCAAAGTAATTGTTGAACCGAAATACAATTAAGAAGACGTATATTAATAGTGAAATACAATTAAGAAGAAGTATATTTTTGGGGGGGCCCCAAGAGAGTGGGGCCCTAAGCTATAGATTGTTTAGCTTATACACAAACCTGGCACTGCACATGCAGCATGCCAATGGTTTCCTTTTTGCTTATCATCTCCTGATTCTCTTTTGCTGTTGAAGGGATCTGTGTAGGCACTCACCATTCACTCAACATAATTCACCCACCTCCCACCCATGGACCCATCTGCCAGCTGTCATGGCACCTTTTCCAAATCCACACAGGCAGCCCTATCAGACTCGAAACACATATATCATATATGCCATAGGGAATCTCTGCTAAGTAAGCATTATGCATATAAGCAGGGACATAGGCGGGAACTGCCCTAGCAATTAACATTTTCTGCTGTAAGGATCTAAATTTAAACCCTGATATCATTATCCTTGGCACAGGGCCCAATCCGTTTTCATCTGACCTACCTACAATGCCTTTTTTATTTTTTATGAATGAAAGCTATTTGCCAAATTGACCATTTTTGCTGTCGTTTTTTATTTCAGATATTGCAGTGATAAGTGCTATGATAATTCCTGGAGAGAAGCAGAGAGGACGAAGCAGATAAATAAACAAATGGGTATCTGAATGAACACTGACACTTGGGCATGCAACAAAAGTGTAGCTAGCTTTTTGTTTTGATAGACACGTGTGCCTCCTTGTGTGGGGCAGGCAGAAAATAGGAGCTGCAATCTTGAAGGTTCTAAGAGCAAGAGAAATATAGTTGTTACGTGATCTGCAAAGAACAGGAATTTAAAACAAACAGCACACCTGGAAGTCAAGCAGTGCTCCTTTAAACTCCGCACCCCAGGAGAGACCTCCTAGGATTTCTGGTACTACTGATCATCTTTTGCATTGAAAGGCAGAGCATGAGACAAGAAGTTCTGTGATCACTTTCCCCTTATTGCCAAAGGTGACATCTGAAAAGAGCAGGGCTTCCTCCTGAGTGTGTGTTGAGGGGAAACGGAGGAAGATGAAAGAAAAGAGAGCTGAAGAGAATCACTTTATACCTCTGTGGTATTTGCCACTTGTTGTAAGGCAGCATTTCAAAAGATGAAAGCAAATGATTAAACCAAAACTTTTCAGCTTTCAGTTCAGGTTTACAGAAAGACAGAAACAGATATAGACACAATTATATAGATGCACCTGACCTTCAGCTACAGAAAACTCCTGAACTGCTATTTTATAGAGAATAGTTAAAAAGAAAAAGGCCCAGCTGGTACACAGAATTCAGGGAAGTAAGAACACACAGGGCAGCAGTGGAACTCCCCCCATCTCCTCTCCCTGTGTGCCCCCTAAATCTGTTCTGGGGTAACCCACAACCCTAACCCTGTAGGATAACTCAGTTGATAGAGCATGAGACTCTTAATATCAGTGTGGGGTTTGAGCCCCACACTGGGCAAAAAGATCCCTACATTGTAGGGGCTTGGACTAGATTACTCTTGTGGTCCTTTCCCAAAACTATGATTCTGTGATTCTGTAGCAGATTTAGGGAGGCAGGAGTCGGGAGTTCTGTCGCACAAGAGTGAATCCTTATATTGATGAAACGAATGCATAGCGTCCAGAGGGGTAGCTGTGTTATTCTGTCACATCAAAAAATAGCACATGACATAAGCGTTCATGGACTACAGTCCATTTCATACTATGAATTCATTTCACTATGAATTCATTTCACTATGAATTCATTTCATTTCATACCATGAATCCATTTCATACATACTCATCCAGAGTAGCAGATTTATGTATGCATGGTTGGTTGGAGGAGGGATACTGTAAACAGGAAGGAAAGGGGAGGAATTCAGTTCAGTTTGCATTTTAAGGCGAACATACAAAAATTCACACTTCCTGAAACAATATGCGAACCAAAACACAGCTAGCCTTTGAATTACTGAATTTTGCAATGCACTTCTCCAGCCAAGTAATATACTAGGGTAACGTATGCCTACAAATGCATATATTAGTAAAAATAGCATACAACAAACATTAAAGTGGGGAAGATTGTTTTGGCAAAATGCAGACATTAGGCAAAACTGCATGCAGAGAGAGAGAGAGAGAGAGAGAGAGAAACATATGACCTAAAATACTGAGGAATTTCCATGAGGATTTTTTTTCAACTGATGTTGAAATGTAGAAAAACCAAACCTAAGACTGGAAAAATGAAAAACTGTGAGAAACTGAAATTGGCAAATTTCCCCATCCCTAATAAACAGTGAAACATGTGAAATGCAAAAAGTAGAGATGGTGATAATTACATAGTAACAATAGTCCTTCATTTTAAAAAGAAAAGGAAAACCAGTTCTTGATAACACAGACAGAGCCATGCAGCCTGAGCCAGGTCCATTTGGATCTCAAGGCCCAAGGTATACTACTTTCCTCACCCTTGCTTGGGCCTTGGGCCCAGCCCAGGACAAAAGCAGTTCATCTAGAAAGAGCCTTTTAATAACAAGGCAGAGTTGGTCTGCAGACCATGCCTGATATTTTCTGGTGGTGCTTGGATACTGAATTTCATCCCATTTCCCCCCTTTGTCATTTGATATTTATAATCAACTGTGGAGCCAACCCCATGGGCCACAGGAGGTTGCACTCAGCATCTGTAGCACCCAGCTGCCAAACGTTGCCATTTCATGTACGCAGCAGAGAAGCGCAAGAATCAGCTATGCCTGGCTCCTAGCTAGTTCCACATGTAGCATCTGGGTTGCCTTTGCGGCTGGTTCCCATCAGCTGTGATTTGTGCCTTAAGAGATAGAGCAAGGTCAAACTCCTGATGAGCAGATATTGTCATCTGGAAGATTTCTGTCTGGCTTGCTTTGGGAAATGGTGTGTGTCAGAGGGGAGGGGAATAGAGTGTGTTGCTAGAGATATGAAGCTATGTAGCAGAGATAATATATAGAGAGATAGATAAATGATTAAAACTTGTCATTGCAAATGAAAAATACTTTCTTGGATTCCCTGGACGTACTGTAGCCTCTCTTCCTGTCTATAGACCACTGATTGCCAAAGTCAGGAGGCAAGTTGTAAGGGGGGGGGGGAATTCATCCAGTTTTTCAAAACTTACAAAACTGGATCTGTGAACACAGAAAAAATCATATGGAAGTGAGTCACCCTCATATGTGCTTGAAATGAATGAACTTTTAGCCCTTTGAATTTTTCCTAAAGGCAAGAGTGTCAACAACAAAATGGCACAGAGTAACTAATTAACAAACTCTGCCACTGTGATTGCTTAACCACATTCTGCGACATCTGGCATTGTTGAAAAGCTGCTGTGAAACAACGGGAATTATTCCCAAAATAACTGTACAGATGGGTTTATGCAGATAAGGAAGACAGTTCTCTTCATCTGCCATTGGGTGGAGAAGTCATGAGTTGCGCATGCAACAGGGTGAAGGGAGAAACCAAGCTTTTGAAAATGTACACCTATTCTCTACGTTTGCCACTAGGAGGCAAGGTCTCCTGGGGCTACACGTGCACAACCCAACTGAATTGAGTTCATGGAAAAAGTCACGCTCAAGTTCGTGAGAAACAAACATAAAGAGTTGGCCTCAGACTGCAAATCTTAAGTCTCTCCCAATTGGTGAAGGAGTATATGTGACTGGGCAAGAAAGTAAAGAAAGCTGTAGTGAAGAAATCTCCCAGGGGCACAGGCAGGGCTCATAGCTCAGTGGTAGAGCATCTGTTTTCCGTGCAGAATGTCCTAGGTTCAATCCCTGGAATCTCAATATAGGATTGGGAGAGACACAATGCTGGAGTACTGCTGTTGCTCAGTATAGATACTACTGAATTAGGCAGTGTTTGAACAATACAGAGTGAGAGGGACCAATGTTTTGACTCTGTATAAGGCAGGTTTCTGTGTTGTTTCATTGGAAGGGTCATTGCTCAGTGGTATAGCATGTAGAAGATTCCAGGTTGACTGCTGAGCATCTCCAGGTAGGGCTAGAGGAGAGACCCCTACCTGAAACCCTGGAGGGATGCTGCCAGTCAGTGTTGAAATACTGAGCTGGCTGGACCAATGGACTGGATTAATATAAGGTAAATTCCTACCTTCCTATGGGACTGTTTAAAAATTTCAGACCAAGGAAGACCTTTTGGAAGACCTTTTAGAATTCTTCTTGCCTTTTCTGATAATGGCAACAGATACGAAGCAGATCCCAGCATTTGTGTGGTGGAAACCTAAGAATAGCATCCTTGCCTACAGATATCTTATGTGTATAATAGGTTTGAAGAAGGCTGAGGAGACTTGCAAGTAACCTAGAAGGGCTATAAATATGTAATGCACAAACACAACAGAATTGCAGCACGATACCTTGGCTTATTCCAGATTCCAAGCAATGCGGTTTCAGCCACTGCTGCCGTTTGTGGTGGGCTGCAACTATGCAGAGACAAAGTGGATTCGACTGCAGAGACGGAGGGCGTCCCTGGCATGTGCTCTTGCCACTCAGCCTTGTTCCCTCTTCCCCCATCATTTGACTGCATCAGCCTCAATATTTAATATCCATAAGCCCCACAAAAGCTTTTGTGAACTTCACAGGGATTTGCAATGTAATGTAATTTAAGCCACTAAAATAAGGAGATGAATGTTGTCCATGTGCCAAACACAATGAAAACCCCACTTGGATCTAGTGTTAATTTTGAAGTGAAGTGGCTGTTGAAATCCAGGCTAGACATTGCTCATTTTATTGGGGGCGGACAAATTGCCAGTAAGTGAAAAAGACCCTGCTAAATTATTTCTCATTGCATTTTTATACACAAGGAATAGGCCAGGGATGGGGAACTTGTAGCCCTCCAGATTTCACTGAACTCCATCTCCCATCAGTCCCAGCTAGCATGGCCAACGGTCAGACAAGACTGGAGTTGTACTCCAGCAACATCTGGAGGCAAAGGTGCCAACTTGTGAGGGTGATTGGGGGGGGATGTCATATGTGTGACATCAGGATATTGGGAGGAGCCAGGGTGGAGCTGAACATGGCGGCCACAAGGCACAATGCCTGGTGGCCCCTCCTCCTACTTTTGGCACTGCCACTGGTGGGAGGCAGCTTTGACCCTCCTTCCCCTCCATAGCAGGAGGAGGAAGAGAAGGAGCTGGCCACGGAGGCATGCCATGCTCGGCTCCATGCTTTGGCTTCATTGTTTCATGAATGGGGTAGGGGGCAGCACATGAGGGGCTGCCCCTGCCCCCAAAATATAAGGGGGCCCAAAGGGCTTGGCTCCTGGAAGTTGATGCCCTTGTCTGGAAGGCCACAGGTTCTCCTTCCCTATAGTTTAGAGCAGTGGTTCTCAAAGGGTGTGGCCTGCCACACTGGTGTGGCAGGAAGATTCAAGGACAATCAATATTTGACAGAGGCCGTGCTGAGGAGGATTGCACTGAGGAGGAATGGTGGGAGCTGCCCCCTCCCCCTGACCTTGAATCTTCCCAAGAGCAGGATTTAGAATAGATTTAGAATAGTGGTTTGAAGAAGGGCATAGTTCAGAAGACAGAAGCTGGAAAATACTGGATGGGGAACCGCTAGGAGAAGAAACACTGGAAGAGAGAGGGTTAACAGATTCACAGTCTCTGGACAGAATCCCCAACCCCAAGGACCCGGAGAACTCAGACAGTGTTAGAACAGAAAGCACAGAGGGTACAAACTCAGATTACAAAACGTAGGAGTAATGTAGATTACATAATAGGAATGGAGGGGCAAACCTTAATTGGGAGCACCACCAGTCTAAGGAGATGCTTTCTTTTCTCTCTCGCTGTGTTTATTAAAGAAACTAACTGGTAAGACTTTCCTTTTGTTTGATCTGCTATTTACTGCCACGGGGGAGTCAGCCGATTCCCCGAAGCCCACCAATATAATATTTTAGGATGTTCTTATGTAGTTGCATTGTTTTATACTTTCTCAATGTCACACAATCATATTATAAAGTCGTTGTGTTCTATGCTATAAATACAAGCACTGCTAGGAGTTGTTTTGTTTCCTTTTTCCAATGTACTTCTTATCAATAAAAAATTTAGTGTGTTGCAAGCAATTTTTTATTCTGAAAGTGTGCCCCAGAGAAAAAAGTTTGAGAACCACTGGAGCAGAGGCTTGATTCATATGCGCAGGTTTGTCACTTGATGAGTACAAGATCAAGCAAAAATTTGCATGTTTGAATGTGTCCAGAGTTAATATTATCCAGTGTCTCCTCAAGTGCAATGATTTTTTTTAACAGAGTCAATGCCACATGTGAATGAAATACTTGTAGCTCATGGTAGTATAGATGCTTTGCATGCAAAAAGTCTCATGTTCAAATCAATCCCTGGCATCTTCCAGTAAAACTGGGGAAATCTTTGGTCTGAAATCCTGCATGTTCACAGCCAGTCAGTTTAAACCAGGGAGAGGGAACCTGTGGCCTTCCAGATGTTGTTGGATTCCAGTTCCCATAATCCCTGGTCACTGGCCACTGGGGCTGATGGGAGTTTGAGTCCAACATCACCTGGAAGGCCACAGGTTTTCAGTTCCTAGTGTAAACAATACTGAAGCAAATGCACCAATGACCTGACTGGGCATAAAGCAGCATTCTATCTTCTTTTTTTCATTCATAGCCATGAATGAAGTGTTTGAAGTGGCTAATTGTTTATTTTTTATTTTGGAAGAAATCAGCTCATTACACTGCATTTCAAATCATCAAGATACAAAAGCAGTTGGCACCTAATAAATTGTACATTCAGACAAAACAGAATCAGACAAATAAAAGGCTTTTTTTAATATAAAAAAGAGACACTTATTTATACACTTTTTTTTCCACAAAGGGAAGTCCAGAGTACGCTACAAGGTTGTATTGCGATAAGAGAAGCATTTCAGAGGAAAAGCCGCCTGTGACTGCACACAGCCATTTGACAAAAGCTTTTGCTTTGTAGATAGCACAGGCTCCCTTTATTCTCTGAGACACAGAATGACTCTAATGTGACCTCCTTAATTTCCTTAGGGAGTACGTGAAATCATTTCTTCCTGTAATTCAGTCTCCTGCTTGAAAGGGACAGTGCAATCTCGGCCAGCTAGGTGAGACTTCAGTCCAAGGTCTGGATGCAGAAAAGCATGTTTAAGGTCACAACCTGACAGGTAGATATTGGCTTACTTGCTTAGGAAGCTACCTGAGGCTCATTGGGAGAGCAGCTGAGAGGCCAAAAGATGCTGTGGACCTCCCTCTCTAGGTTAAGGCCTCCTCAGTACAGTCGCAGAAATCTTGACCACTGTCGTTCTGTTGTGGGCAGCACACCAAGGCCAGAAACTGGCCAAAGCTCTCTTGGTCCCTTACACATTCCTGAAAACAAGTATGCCAGCCCTGGCTAGTAACAACTGATTAAAAGTGCCAGCGTTAGAGTGTCAGACTAGGACCTAGAAGATATGGCTTCAAATCCCCACTCATCCATGAGACTTGCTAGGAGATCTTGGGCCAGTCACTGCCCCTCAGCCTAACCTACCTTGCAGGTTTGTTGCTGGGATTAAAAAACAAAAGTGGAAGAATCATGTATATCACCTTGAGCTCCTTGGAGAAAAAGGTGAGATATACATGCTATAAATTTATTAATAAAATTAGGCTGCAAATCTTATGGGCAGTGAAAGCAGACCCTCCAAGTGTCCCTATTTTCCAGGGATGTCCCTGATTTAGAGAAGCCATCCTGGTTTCTGATTTGATCCCGGAATGTACTGCTTTTCCTTAGAACATCTCTATTTTCATCAGATAAATGTTGGAGGGTATGGTAGGATGTTCCTATTTTCTTCTGAGAAATGTTGGAGGGTATGGAGTTATCCAGCCCCCAAGCCTTCTAAAGGCAATCCTGTACAGGGAAGTTTTTTCAAATGTTTAATGTTTTATTACATTTTTATATATGTTGGAAGCCGTTCAGACTGGCTGGGGCAACCCAGTAAGATGTGTAGGGCATAAATAGTAAAATTATTATTATGGAATGGGATGTCCCTATTTTCATTGGAGAAATGTTGGAGGGTATGGTGAAAGGGTCCTTTACCAAGGGCCAGTCTAATTTTAGAGAGAAAGGACATAATACCATTCTCCTAGGACTGTACCACAACTCATAAATTCAGGTGCATGTGAATAATTCTTTTGCCACCTCTCACCCTGTACAACAGCTAGGTGAGGTCCCTTCATTCTGAAGTGCTGCATTCTGCACTGCAGGAACACACATGAACACATGCACACACAATAGCATTCACATGTATATTCCATGAAGGGCCCATACCCCCACCCCAAATGTATAAATGAGCTCTTAGTGACACAATGAGTCTACACAGAAGTTTATCCTGCCTTTGTGCCCCTTGTCTAAATGCTGTAAAGTGCCTTAGAAAATCCACACTGCACCAAAGCAAGTTCTTTGCATACTGATGCCCTACTGTTTATAGTATTGACTTGCAGAGGGAGAAAAACAGCATTTTAATTAGTATCCAGGGAACCTCATTATACCAGAGGTCAAACTTGCACCTGGATTTTGCTCACAAAGCAAGTCCATTCGGGGAATAGATGAATACTTCAGCCAAGAGTAGATGTTAGGGTGAGTTCTGGAAGGTCACCCCACCCCCTGAGAAAAGCACTCGAGGAACAAACTTTTGAGCAGAAACACAGCCAAAGGCAAAATATCAAATTTGCATGAACACACCCCTGGCTTTTATTTTATTTTTAAAGTTAGTATAAGTACTCTACAGCTACTCATACTGTAAAGGACCGCCACCTCTGGTTTTCAAGAATTTTAGCACCTGGGCATATTGTTCTTGGGGATGTACAGCCTCTGAGAAGAGGGTTTGGTTTTTTTGTTTGTTAATTAAGAAAATGTAACTTATGATAACATAAGCATATTGCACAATCTTTTTCCTGTCTTGAGGAAATAAACTTCTGTGTCTTAAAAAAAGTGTATGGGCAGATTAATTTAGAACATGCAAAGAGGGAATCTCTGTCTCTCTTTCTCTGACTAGGCAATAGTCTGGAATGATGGGAGTTGTAGTCCAATAACATCTGGGGGCCCTGCAGCTCCCTGTCCCTGCTTTAGAAGTTTGGTGGGTCTTGAGCTTAGCTTATCACGGCAAAGTGTACTCGCTTTTCTTTCTGGTGAATGCTTCGCTATGGCTCTGCAGCCTCCCTGTCTGCAAAGATGATTTGCAAAATGAAGTACAGTATGCATTGCAAAAAACAAACAAACAAACCTGCACTCCACCTATAGGAGTTTCTTTGAGATTTTCTATCCCGTTTGATAATGTTCTAATACAATTTTCTTTTTCATTAGTTGATGGGGAATGGTCAAAAGAACATACTACCACCCATCTCTCCTGCAGCTTTAATTTTATTAACTGTGAAGTAGAGACAACAGCCTATTCTCTGAGGTTGGATAACAGTGGGTTGGAGTCAGACTTAGTCACGCTTTGAGATGACTAACTGATTTCACTGGGACTGCTCTAAGCACAATTCTATCTGGATCCACCTAAGTACATGTGAAACAGAGAAAGAGAGAGGCAGAGCACCTTTTAATGTTGGATTTATATGAAGGGTTTCAATGTGTGTTTTCGCAGCAGTGAGTAAGCATTTTCAAGCCAAGGGCCACTTTACCTCCTGTGCAACTTTCCAGGGATCACATCCCAGTGGTGGGCGTGGCCAGAGGATGAAGTAGGCAGGGCAGTGAATGTAAATTTTACTTTTGTGCAGTGCACCCCTTTTATCCTCCATCCTGGCAAACAACAACAACAACAACAACAACAACAACAACTTATTACTTATACCCCGCCCATCCTCATTTTTGTTCTTTTCTTAGAATGAAGAGAACTGAAAAGCTGTGCCTGGAAATACTGTCCAACAACTCATTGGGAATTATGTTTTAATTGACTATCCTCTACACTACCAGCATCCTAACATTTGAAACATGAACATCCTAACCTTCCTAATTATATATGAGATAATGAGTAGGTACACACACTTTAAAAGAGCATGCTGGTTGGCCAAGCATGCTTGTATTTCTTGAATACGGTAATACTAATAACACTGGGCAACAATTTTTTACTTTTTGAATGTTGTCTAGATTTCTACAACTGATTTAGGGTATTTTTGCACTGCTGAATCAGGAAATGGCATCCGTTTCTCTCCATCAGGTCAGGTTTTCTGTAAACTGAATGGTGGGCATTGATAAAGGTAAGTACACGTAAATTGCCTGTTGCTTCACCATTTTTCAAACTTCAGGGCTTGAACTTCTTTCTTGGAACTCCTGGAATGCTCAGCAGCACGGAGGTCTCTCTTCAGAGTCCAACAGTAGTCAGCCATCATGACTGCGTCCCAGCAACCCTGATACCTGGTCTCCATCTCTTTCATGTCCTGATGGAATCTCTCCCCCTGCTCGTCACTCATTGAACCCAGGTTCTCAGGAAACCAGTCCATATGTGAAAATAGGTAGTGCATCTTGACGCTCATGTTGCAGCCCAGGTTTCTGAAAGCAGTCAGCATGTTGTTGACAAGTTCTGCGTAGTTTCTGGCCTTATTGTTGCCAAGAAAGTTCTTCACTACCAGAACAAATGCCTTCCACATTTCCAGTTCCACTTCGTTCATTGAGTTTCCGAACTCTGGATCTCTGATGAGCTGACGGATCTGAGGACCATCAAAGATGCCAGCTTTCAACTTCTCCATGGTCAATCCTGGAAAAGCCTGGCACAAGTAAATGAAGCAGTCACCATCCTTGTCCAGAGCCTTGGTGAACTGCTTGATTAAGCCGAGCTTGATGTGCAGCGGTAGGAAGAGTATTCTGTCTCTGTCCACCAAAGGGTTGTTGATGGCGTTCCTTTCTTTGAAGGCACCAATTCCTCCCGCACAGGCCAGTCCTTCTTTGTGTAATGCTGAGCACGGTCCCTACTATCCCACATGCACAGAAAACATGGGTACTTGGTGAAGCCAGACTGTTGTCCCAACAAAAAGTTCACCATCTTCAGGTCAACACAAATAAACTACTTATGCTGATCATAACCAATTTTCTCCAGCACATACTTCACCGC